CTTCTGAGTATGTAAGCTATGATGAAGCAGACTTAACTGAAAAATTGTTTCAGGCTGCTAAACTATATAAAGTAGTGTAACTGCATTGACTGAGAAGAATAAGCCAGAAATTGTCCTACTGGATGCAAAAATTTAATAAATGTTAGGAAGTGCTTATGGGCAGATATATTAACAACTATGTTCAAAACAAAGCAGGACAGGACAAAAGGACAGATGAATAAAATGTAGTCTTTGTATTAGCCAGAGTGCAAATTTTCACATGCTGCATAATGTTACATAGAAAGAATTAAAGAAAAGACTGTAAATTATGATCATTCTCAAGCCTCAGACATCAATGTTTAAAATCCATACACAAAGTAGTGTGCATCTGCATAGATCAGAATATGGAGAGCTATAAATGGATACAACATGGATGGAATTTCTTGCTTATACAGTAGGATTACAGTACGAACTAAATGAAAAGATTGTTTCTCCATTTCACTACCAAAATTAAAAAAAAAAGAGCATAATGAACTTAATTTTCAATTTGAAAACACTTGGCTTGTAACTACACTTTATACACCAAAACAAAACCAAAATGTGTTTTGTGCAATTTTTCTTAGAACTTTTGGGTAATTTCTAGCTTGATTCTTAAAGTAACTTTTCAACATTCACGTGGTCTACAACTTATTACAATTACCTATATGAGGCATGTAAGTATAGTCAAGTTCAGTGCAATACTAGTAATTTTTACATGGCTGCTTGTTTTGTTCAAGGGATTGGTTTGGGTTTTTATGTTACATATACATATGAATACGCACTTAGATTTTTGTATTGCTTGTGTCCCAGATATACCTCACTGTTCTGCTTCTAACACTGAAGAACTTTAACCAAAAACAAGTTTTAAAACAGATGTTTTTAATTACAGCAAAACCCATACTCTACTGCACTACAGCTATCAGAATTTTGCCTAACTTACTTAGGAAAAACCCACATCAATTCAGTCCAAACCAAGGATTTCTTTTAGATTTTGCTGCGATCCACGGAAACAGAGTCTAGAGAGGCTACATCTACATTGCATTGTTACATTATTACTGAGAGCTGCCACAGTAAATTTCTACAAATCTCAAGGGACTTACAGACCACGTAAGTCTTGTCCCAGTATGACAATACAAGCAGTACGTTCAGGACTGGCATGTGCCCCGCTGCTTCTTGTACTGCCTCTCACACCCTTCAAACATTTGTTCTCCCCTAAGACATTTGCATCAGATAAAAGGTGCATTTAAGAGTTGCTGCTAGGCTCCTGTTTTTAACCAGCACAGTTGCAAATACTGAGAAAGATGTGCTTATGTGTGGCTGCTTATTGCTAGCACTATTCCTGCTTCAAAATGCATTTCAACTTGAGCAAGAGAAGTCTGACACTCAGTGTTGGCTTTGGCTCTACCTCATTTAGGCCAAGAAATCTGTTGGGCTTAACACAGATGAGCAAATCTAGGAGACAGAAGGAACGCAGGACAATGTGGACTTCAAAATGGTAGCAGTGAAAAAAGAATCCTTTTCAGTAGGTTTAACCAGGAGTTAAATGAGCTCACATGGGCACTGCAGAGACCAATAGTTGCAAGATAGATACTGAAATTCTACTGAAATTCAATCTGTGGATACCCATGCACAGGTTCTGTACTGACATTTATGTTCTGGCCAGTCTGATGTAGACAAATTAATCAACTGAGAGAAGACAGGTGAATTCAAGTATCATGTCTTACAAAAATAACCTATTGTTCAGAACACTGCTGCAGCAGGGCTCAGCACCTGATGTCTCTGCTTCTCGATCCCTTCCAAACATCATTTGTGCTGTGGTTTGAAAACACATGCCAACATGGCTGAGGCTTTCCACATATACGGCATAACTTTAAATATACTGCATAAGGTCACTGAGGGACTTGTGGTGTACCCGAAGGTGATTGGGAGGGGAATCTGGCAGTAGTTATCTTCATGACCACAGAGAATATAATCATGGATATGGTGTAAGTACAGAGCACTAGTCAGCTGTGCTGTGAGATTTTTGTTATTTCCCAGAAGTCAACTGCTGTTGTAAGACATGAAGTGGAGATAATGACTTCTTTTTCCATGTCTGTGCAGGTGCCACCCAAAGAGGAAGGAGACAGAAACTGAGTGCAAGGTCTACACCACTTGCCCTGGATGCCAGAGTACCTTTAAATCTGGTCCCCCATAGCCTGTATTTGGAAGCTTGAAGAGACATGGTTCACCTGAATGTGTGCATATGGGAAGACAAGAACCTGATCTCCAAGAACTTCAGGGATAGATTAAAAAAACTGTTTAACATCTGAGAGAGAGCCTGGATAGCCAGTTTTAAGAAAACAAACTCCAGGCTTAGAATCAACAGAACTCAGAAATCAACTACAAACATATCAAAGGCTGCTAGGAGAATCAGATAAGCTCTAGCTTGGAGTTGAATGTATCCACGGGTGATTTTTGGTATTGAACAATCTGAAACTGGATGCCAAATGTCACAGAGTCACAGAATATGCTGAGTTGGAAGGGACCCACAAGGATCATTGAGTCCAACTCCTGGCCCTGCACAGAACCATCCCCAGGAGTCACACCATGTGCCTGAGAGCTTCTTGAACTCTGTCAGGCTTGGTGCTGTGACCTTCCTTGTGCTGTGACACTTCCCTGGGGACCCTGTTCCAGTGCCCAACCACCCTCTGGGTGAAGAACCTTTTTCTAATATCCAACCTAAACCTCCCTTGACACAACTTTAGGTCATTCCCTCAGGTTCTGACACTGGTCACCACAGAGAAGAGATCAGTGCCTGTCCCTTTACTTCCCCCTGTGAGGATGCTGAAGATCACAATGAGGTCTCTCCTCAGTCTCCTCTTGTCCAGGCTCAACAGACCAAGTGACCTCAGCCACTCCTCACATGGATTCCCCTCAAGGCCCTTCACCATCTTCGTTGCCTTCCTTTGGACGCTCTCTAAGAGCTGAATATCTTTCTTATATTGTGGTGCCCAAAACCGCACACAATATTCAAGGTGAAACTTCCTCAGTGCAGAGCAGAGCGGGACAATCCCCTCCCTTGACAGGCTGGTGATGCTTTGCCTGATGCCCCCCAGGACACAGTTGGCCCTCCTGGCTGCCAGGGCACTGCTGACTCATATTCAACTTGCCATCCACTGGGACCCCCAGTTTCCATGGCACTGTTTTCCAGCATCTCATTCCCCAGTCTGTACATGCATCTGGGGTTCCCCCATCCCAGATGCTGAATCTAGCACTTTCCTTTGTTGAACTTCGTACGGTTGGTGATTGCTCAGTCATCCGATTTGTCAAGGTCTCTCTGTGGGGCCTCCCTGCCTTCAAGGGAGTCAACAGCTCCTCCCAATTTTGTATCATCTGCAAACTTTCTTAATGTCCCTTTCAGTCCCATGTCCAAGCCATTTATGAAGATGTTGAAGAGCACAGGCCTAAGATGGAGCCCTGTGGAACCCCACCAGTGACAGGTCTCCAGCCTGATGTTCCCCCATTCACTATTACTCTCTGTGCTCGACCTGTGAGCCAATGGCTCACCCACCACATGATGTGTTTATCCAGCTGTGTGCTGGGCATTTTGTCCAGAAGGATCCTGTGAGAGACAGTATTGAAAGCTTTACTGAAATCCAAAAAGATTACATCAGCTGGCTTCCCTTGATCACCTAGGTAGGTTACCTTGTCATGAAAGGAAATCAGGTTTGATAAGCAGGACTTTCCTCTCAGGAAGCCGTGCTGGCTGTGATCAATCAACCTAGCATTGTCTTGCAGGTGTTTTTCAATCCTTCCCAGAATAATCTTCTCCATTACTTTTTACCAGACACTGAAGTGAGACTGACAGGCCTGTAGTTTCCAGGGTCCTCCTTTTTGCCCTTCTTGAAAATCAAGACAACATTTGCTTCCAGTGTGCTGGGACATCTCTGGAATCCCAAGACTGCTCAAAAATCATTGAGAGAGGTTTTGTGATGATAGCAGCAGCTCTTTGAGGATTCCGGGATGAATCCCATCAGGCCCTATAGATTTGTACAGATCCAGCTTCAGCAGCAGATCCTGCACATTTCAGGGTTGACTGGGAGTTGATAATTCTCACAGTCGTGGTCCTGCAGCTCAGGGCACTGAGACCCCCTTGGTCTGTCATCCATGTTGAAGACAGAGGCAAAGAAAGCATTAAACACCTCTTCCTTGTCTCTGTCCCCTTTTGTGAGATGACCATCTGCATCCTGTAACAGGCCAATGATATTTCTATCCTGCCTATTGCCATTAATATATTTGAAAAAACTCTTTCTATTGTCCCCCACAGTTCTGATCAGCTTCCACTTCAGTTGAGCTTTGGCTGCACAGATTTTCTCCCTACAGCAACAAGCAGCATCTCTGAATTCTTCTCATGTCACTGGGCCTTGCTTCCACTGGGCATTTTCTGTCTTACTTCCAAGAGAAGATTCCTGTTCAGCCAAGCTGGCCGTCTGCCTCTCCTGCTTGACTTCTGACAAGGGGCTTAAAGAAAAATTGATGAAAACCCCCACCAAGCTGAGGTACTCCTTAGAATTGTTCTAATTAATCTGTACAAAGGAAGTGCAGACAACTCAACAATGAAATCTTTTATTAGAAGCTATATAAATTTATAGATAAATACAATCCTTAATCCATAGATATGACAATTTGAAATAATGTGTTTGGATCCTTTTATTCCAAAATAAAATTTAAAAACCTCATGCTAATACCTTAATTTCTTCTTCTGATAAATTTCAGACACACTGTCAAATAAAGAAGGGAGCTCTTTTTCACATTATGGTATTTGAAATAATCAAAACTTGTACATAAAATTATTACTGCCATCATCAGCTTAAAATTTACTTTACTGGAAATACTAGCAATGCATTGACTATTTTCTTTCAGAAAATAGAATCTCTTCCCATATCTATTGAATGCTGTGATTTCATAAACTAAAAGGTAAAATGAGGTTAAAATATACTCACTTATTTTACTTCTCACTTCATTTAGCTTTTCTCCAAGGCATTTAACTTCAGCAAACCTGTCAATGCAAGGATAATGATACAGAATTATTCTAAAGAACAACTAGTGAAACTAGTTGATCACAATAAAATACTGAATTACTCAATTTTTGATTGATAAGTAGAAGTAATTGGAAACTATTTTCCATTAGAAAGATTATCTGGTCCAAGAGAAACCTTTCTGAAAGAAACCATGCAACAGATAAGTTTACTAGACAGACAAAACCAATATATTTGACCTTTTAAGTTTTAAAAACTACGGTATCTCAACTCTAATGACTGCATTCTCTTAAATACTCTTACTACACCACAGTATTATTCTTCATATGTTACTTTACTTGCAATGTTTTAACAAACAGTGATATAAAAGTAAAACTAAAAAATAAACCAAGCAAATTAAAACAAAATGATTGAAAATATTAGAACTGCTCACAAGGAAATTTCAAATTTCAGCCTGTAATTAGCATATTGCTGATGAACATTGTGCTGTGTGGAAATATACATCCTAATCACTAACGAACCTCTCAAACAGAAAATGTGAGAAAACTAAATGATGCTGTTCTTCTACAGATAGCCACTGAGTGAATGCAGACTTTCAGCTGATATTCAGCTCCTGCTCAAATAGCAACACACATGAAGATATGCAAATAGCAAGCAAGAAGCAGGCTGAGAAGGATGGAAACGAATGAATGATTCAGTCTTTGGAAACTCTCTTTTTCTAGAACGCAAATAGCTTGACCTTAAATCAAAACTGGAAATGAGTGGGAAATTCCCTCCAGGTATGTTTCTAAATGAGTTCACTGACCACTTCCTCATTATATTCAAATAATCAAATCTTCACATGGTATGTAAAATATTTTGATGATCAGAAGTTTCTTTTTTAGCCATACACTGTATGTCTTGCTCCTTAGGAAATGTGTCATATCTAAATGTATTCTTACATTTAAAAATTTATATTCTCTACATTTCTTACAGTCTGCTAGTACTTGATGCCTACTCCTTTCGTGCTTTTCTTCTGTCAGTTTTCTGATGTTTCACAGTAGTTGCTGTCATAATTATTCTCTTACACTTATTTAATTCGGCACTATATAAAACTGTTCAGGAAAAATCAGGTTTAGGACATATCAGGTTTTCAAATGCCAAATATATTGTGCTGTAAAAATAATGACAATCACTTCAATGTACAATGGTAAAGTCCAAGGAGTCACTGAGAGAACTGAGGCTATTTCAAGAAAATATCGATTGTAATAGTCTAAACAGTAATAGTTTAAAATTTAGAACGATGATTTGCTGCACTGTGACATTTCTCATAGGACATTAAGATTGACATGAAACTCTGAGTTGTTACTTGGATGTGTACAAGTGGAACCTTCCAGAATGTGGAGGCAGAACTCAATTGTTAAGCAAGACTTGAGGTGATCTGGAAGAATCTTGCTCTAGACAAAGTAACTGAGGAAATCCACAAATTGTACTTCTGTCTAACTCAAATAATGGTAAAATAGAGTAAAGAAATACAACTTCTCCCTGGAGAGGTGGGGTTTGAAAAACTGCCCCTTCTCAACTAGTCAATTTCCCTGTAAAACTGGAATGAGTTAGAATTTCGGGTGCCTTCATTGGTACCTGCTCACAAACATACACTTTCAAAGCTGAATTCAACAAGACTAAATGGCTGGAGCTGGAGGGTTCCTCAGCACTTACTCTTTCTTACATTAGGAAGGCAGAAGCCTTTGAAGCATCTGTGAGACTTTATATAAGCTTATTCTACTGGTGTTGACTTAGAGCCCCAAGCAGGCATTGAAGAGTGTGTAAATATCAAAGGGAAGAAACCCCAAAGTACTTCCTCTTTCTTTCCCTCAGGTCCCATGAACAAAATAGCAAGTTCCTCAATAACTTAATAATTTTTGAGGTAAATCTCACGTTGACTATTAACTCTAATTCATGTTCACAGAGAGATTTATCTGGACAAGTTGAAGCCATCTATCTATCCAGTCCTTATTCATAGACTACTGCCAATAGTTGAATGGATCATGCATATGTTTCTCAAACACCACAGTTTATAAACTAGCACAATAACATAAACTGAAATTTGGCATTAATGTATGACAGTCCAATGGATTCCATCTGTGACTATGAGTCAGTCTAACAAAATAAACCAGGTAAAGACATAAGATTTGGCTCTTCTTAAAAGGTAAAAAAGCTATTTCTGATACTCTTCTAATTAAAAAAAAGGTGGTATTATCTAACATTAAGCTGATATTGCTATGAATATTGATGAGTGAACAATTATATATTGTAAGCTGAAAAAATTCCTGTTATCTTACATGGAGACCACTCAACAGAAAGGCTGAAGTTGACAAATTATGGCTTCTATTACCTACAAGATAAATACTCCATGATGAAACCCTAAAGTGAATTTAGCCACTGATTTCAGTGGAACAAGCATTTTTGGCAAAGATTTCACTCTTTGAATGCATGTGCCAGTAATTTAAAAATAAACTTCTTGAAAAACAAATCTCTAACTCATAATGTAAACCAAGACAAACTCAGAGGCTGTCTAATAAGACAGTGGAGACATTTAGTGAATTAAATGAACATGCACTTGTTTTTAATTATTAAAAATTACAACAACAAGTGACCTAAGTGAAACTCATCCTTTCCATGAAACTTGCCCATAGGTATTGAAAAAAACGAGTTAGTTGCTAACCAACTGAAACACAGAAAGCAAGGAAAGAAGAAAATGGAAAATAGTGGAGAAAACAAAATGGAAACTAGATTTACATCACATTTGTAAGCTCAGTAGAATTTTACTACTGGAAATACTGACTAAGATGGGGCTTAAAAGCTTTGTGCAATATGCAATATTACATTGGAATGGCTCATCTGGGAAGATTTTTTGATAGTATATTTCACCAGAAAATGAGATGTATTTTTCTCCTCCTCCGAGAAACAATCCTAAGTGAACATGGTTATGTTGAGAAATAGGATGTTATTAAGTTCTCTGGAAGTCAAGTATAGGAAGTCCAAATTGCAGAAATCTGATTCTGTCTGGGCACAAACACATGTTTATTGTTTAGTTTTGGTTTGGTTTTTTTTAAGCAGGGAAGAAGTTATTAAGGTACAGAAGAAAAATAAAAAATAATTGTTTTGTATTAACTGTAAAGTAAGCTGTAGAAGGTCACCTTTTTTATCTTACGAAGGTACTCCTCATAACCAACTGTCCTAATTGGATAGCTTGAATCTATTTTCTTTCACTTGAACAGTAATGAGCTTCAGAAAGAAATTATCCTTAACCATATCAGACTTCTCACCTTTTAAATCCAGAGACAGTACTGAGTTACAATACTAAGCTACTGCCTCTGTGAAGAGCTCTGAAGCAGAAGGTGAAAAAGCTTTACTCAAAACCAGATTTTTTCTTATATATATATATATTTTTTTTTTTAACAAAACAAATGTTTTCAGTATTTGATTTAACCAAATGACTGCTTTTGAGCATTTATACAAGGGTAGTTACAGAAAAAAATACATGTATATTGTATATGTATGACCATATATAGTCACATCTATATGAATAATTTCACAGCCCAAGCTACAGTTGTGAGCTTCACAGTGAAACTTCCAATTAGGCTCACTGACAGTTCACCATTGAATTAAGAATGATATAATGCGTACTCGATGTCTTACTGAGATGTACCTGGGGCTCCTGAGGAACCAACAGGGAAACACCAGTGAAATACCTCAAAGGAATTAAGAAGTGCCCCTCTAAGAAGGTGACACGGTCAACAGTCCAGCTGAGGTGCCTTTGCACCAATGCACGCAGTGCGGCAACAAACAGAAACTGGAAGCCACTGTGCAGCTAGAAAGCTGTGCTCTAGTTGCTATTACTGAAACTTGGTGGGACAAATCCCATGACTGGAGTGTGGCTATTAATGGCTACAGGTTGTCAGAAGGAACAAGAGAGGAGGAGGGGTGGAGGGGTTGCTCTCTACATCCAGAGGAGGATTGAGTGTGAAGAGCTGTCTCTGAAGAACAGACACGTGCAGGCTGATAGCTGATGGGTAAGAATCAGAAACCGAGGCAACAAAGGGAACCTTGTGGTCAGTGTCTACTACAGGCCTCCTGATCAAGGAAAGCCTACTGACAAAGCTTTCTTGCTCTGGGTACAGGAGGCATCACATTCACAGGCTCTTTTCCTGCTGGAGTACTTCAAACGTGCCAATATCTGCTGAAAAAGTAGCATGGCAAGCTGTAGGCAATTCAAGAGACTCCTGGAATGCATTGAGGATAACTTCTTAAGCAAGGTGATAGGGGGGGATGTAATACTGGATCTACTGGTCACCAGCATAGGTGCACTAATCAGGGATGTCAAGACTGGAGGCAGCCTGAGCTGCACTGATCATGCAGTGATGGAGTTCATAGTCCTGAGGGATATGGGTCAGGCAAAGAGTAAAGTTTGGCTCCTAAAGTTTAGGAAAGCAAAATTCCAGCTCTTCAAGGAGTTAGTTAATAGCATCCCCTGAGAAACTGCCTTCAGGGACAAAGCAGTTGAACAGAGCTGGCAGATCTTTTAGAATGGTTTCCATGAAGAGCAAAACCTTTCAATCCCCAGGAGCAAGAAGTCAGGCAAGGAAGGCAAGAGATCAGCACGGCTCAGTTGAGACCTGCTGATCAATCTAAAGGGCAACAAGGAAATGCACAGGCAGTGGAAACAAGGAGTAACCTAGGAAGAGTATAGTGGTGCTGCCTGGTTGTGTAGGGATGGAGTCAGGAAGGCCAAGGTGCAGTTGGAGCTTAACTTGGCAAAGGATGGGAAGAATAATAAGAAGGACTTCTATGGGTATGTCAGCCAGAAAAGGAAGCTCAAAGAAAGTGTACCCCTCCCTCATGAACAAGACTGGTAAACTGGTAACAATGGATGAGAGAAGGCTGATGTACTTGACGACCTTTTTGCTTCAGTCTTCAGTCTTCATTGGCTCTTCTCACACCGCTTGAGTGGATGGACTGCAAGACAGGGACTAGAGGAGAAAAATCCCTACCACTGTAAGAGAAGATCAGGTTCATGACCACCTGAGGAAACTGTACACAGGTCTATGGGACCTATAGGAATTATGAACTGTCAGGCTCATCTCTGTGCCTGGGAAAATCATGGAAGAAATCCTCCTAGAAGCTATACTAAGGCACATGGAGAACATGGAGGTGATTCAAGACAGCCAGTATGGCTTCAGCAAGGGCAAGTCCTGCCAGACCAACCTAGTAGCCTTCTATGATGGAATAACTACATTTCTGGAGAAAAGAAGAGCTATGGATGTTGTCTATTTGACTTCTGTAAGGCCTTTGACGGAGTCTACCACATCCTCTTTAAATGGGAGATATAAGGATTTGATGGGTTGACTGTTCAATGGATGAAGAATTGGTTGGATGGTTGCATCCAGAGGGTAATGGTTAACGGCTCATTGTCCAGATGGATATTGGTGACAAGTTGTGCCCCTCGGGGGTCCATTGCTGAGACTGGTACTGTTTAAAATCTTCACTGATGACAGAGACACTGGGATTGAGTGTGCCCTCAGTACATTTGCATAAGCCACCAAGCTGAGAGGTGCAGTTGACATACCTGAGGGACAGGATGGACAAGCTCAAGAAGTGGGCCCATGTGAAACTCATGAGGTCTACAAGACCAAGTGCAGGGTCCTGCACCTGGATTGGGACAAACCCTGATATCAATACAGGCTGAGGGATGGAGAGATTGAGAGCATCCCTGGGAAGAAGGACTTGGGGGTACTGGCGGATGAAAAGCTGGACATGACCTGGCAATGTGTTCTTATAGCCCAGGTAGTGAACTGTATCTGGGGCTGCATCAAAAGAAGGGAGGCCAGTAGGTTGAGGGAGGTGATTTCTCTCCTTTACTCCAGTCTTGTGAAATCCCACCTGGAGTACTTGTTAAGGAAATTTTCCTGTCTGACTATCCAGGGGCCACTCTGGCAGTCTGTTGTGGTTTAGGAATTGTATTCTCAAATTTAGTGGCTTAACAAAACCACAGTGCCACTCACTTGCCCTCCCCCTCCAGCTGGAAGCACAGAAGGCAAAGATCATGGGTTGAGACAAGAACAATTTACTGGAAACAGCAATGAGATAGTAAGAGCAACCATATTAATACAAAAAGTGTACAAAAGAGAGAGTGCGGAGTTCAACCCAACCTCAGCCATATCATCAAAACCACTCCCTCTGCTCCAGACCAGCATTACCCCACCACCCTGTTTGTCACACTTGCTCTACCGGAAAAGGAATGCCCTTCTCAGAAGCGAGAGAGAGTCCCTTTCCCCCACACCCCGGCCATGATGTAAGATGGTATAGAACAACATTAGGGTCTTGGCAATGCCCACATGGCTCCACAATCCACCCTCTGGCAGCTACTGCAAAAAATTAACCCTGTCCTTGGCCGAAATCAGGACACAGTCACACTCACATCACCTGAGCTAGGACCAAAGCCCCTTCACAGTGGGTGGTTCCACTGAGCCAACAGGTGCCTTGCTTGACTCCCTACATTCACCACACTCACACAGACAGACAAGGGCTCCTTACTGGCTCAACCCTAGGTTTCCCATAGCAGAGCCTCTCATACGCCTGGATCCTTAAAATAATTTAATTACGATGCAACACCAGAGAAACAGCTTGAGCTGATGCCTCCAAGGAAGGACCCAGAGCAAAGGAAACCCTGGACAGTGTAAGTGTGTGAAAGTCTCAGCTCTTCCACCTAAGTCACTGGCTCCTACTATGCCTCTAAGTGTCTGTTCACCTGGCTGGCTGTGCCCTTTGTTGTGTAAAGGGTCAGTACCAGTTCATAGCCTCTTGCCTTGGGCTCTTGCCACTCAGAGCTCAATCTGCAGATCCCACTGAAGTGGCACACTGAGCTACCAGCACTAAATGTATTCCTCAACAGTACTGCATCCAGTTCTGGAGCACAGGAAAGACATGGATCTATTAGAGTTGGTCCAGAAGAGGGCCACAAAAATGATTTGAGAGCTGGAACACCTCTCTTATGAAGACAGTCTGAGACAGTTGAGCTTGTTCAGCCTGGAGAAGAGAAGGCTCCAGGGTGACCTTATTGCAGCCTTTCAATATTTAAAGGGGGATTATAAGAATGTTTTAGCAGGATCTGTTGGGATAGGACAAGGGGCAATGGTTTTAAACTAAAAGAGCACAGATTTAGAGTAGGTATAAGGAAGAAACTTTTTACAATGAGGGTGGTAAAACACTGGAACAAGTTGTCCAGAGTGGTGGTGGATGCTCCATCCCTGGAAACACACAAAGTCAGGCTTGATAGGGCTCTGAGCAACCTGATCTAGTTGAACATATCCCTGGTCATTGCAGAAGGCTTGGACTAGATGACCTTTAAAGGTTCCTTCCTATCCTTTGCGATAATTAGCAAGCCAAGAAAATCTCCCCCAAATACCCAAAGGAAAAATAAGACAGCTAAAAATAAGTAATTTGTGAGCCAAATACTGTTTGTGGTATGACAGAAGTGGTTATGCAACTATAAACAAAATTATTAACATGAGAGGCCTACATATAAAGGGAAGTTATGGTAACTTTTAAACATGTGGTGTCCACACTCTTCTTCCTGTGCAATTTGAACACTGGCTGGGTAACAGAACTTTTGTGTAACTGGTAGTTCAGAGGCTGCATTCCAAATTACAGACTGGACTTGATGTAAATCCATTCTAATGAACTTGGTAAACTTGGAGCTATAAGCATTTTTGCTAAAAATGACTGCAAATGGCAGAGGGAAACTCTTGCTCCAGAGTATCAACATTCACATTAGCACTGATTTCAGCAATCAGCTGATGCCTATTAGAGAAGGGTTACCCAAGGCATTAGTTTGAATCCCTTTGTCGTTTAGGGAAAGCAAATCTGTCATCAAACTTTGTGGATTCTGCCCATCTCTATTATATGTTCTGAAACCAGAAGGAAATACTGGTTTGCTTCATAGTAATAACAAACAGAAAAAATATGGAAGAATTGTGATTAACTAGAGGAAATGCAGGGCATGGCTCAGAACTGTGTTGCTCTCATTATCATGCTGTGACCATGAAGTGTTCTGCTCAATAAATAGCAATGTCAGAAATTACTCATTTATGCAGTGATGATGCAGTGATGTGACATCATCTGATATATGGATCAGAAGAAAGGCATTACTAAACATCCAGTTTACAGGGATAAATTCTTACATACATCTAATACCTCATCAATTTGTGTTCCTATGTCTGAGTTGTAGATCCAGGTAGAAAGTTAATCAATTCAGAAAAGTGATAAACAGCAAGAGCTTGAATAAGTCACACAGATGTGGAGATCACTTCTTGCCTCAATTTCACTGAAGTAAATAAGTATTAAACTTAGTAACCCTGAAAACAATGTCTTTCATGCCTATTAAGAGAGAAAATTGTGTTAAAGAAAGCAGAAGAAAGCAGGAGGAGAAAACTCTAAGGCAAAAAAAAGAAAAAAGGAAAAAGAAAAAAAACCCAAGCAACTATTAGGGGAATTGCTAGTTAAAAGGACAGATTGAGAGACCTGCTTTCGGCATCTGCAATCTCAAACCCATATATTTCTTTTGCAGTACAAGGGGAGTTAACACTTGAAAAACTGACACTGAAGCAGTGCTGTTATCCAATCAACATGGACAAGAGTTGGTGGTTTAATCTGCGAGATGTTTAAAATCTACTGTATGAAAACGTTTTCAATGTTTTTTCCATTCTCGCCATCTTCACCACATTTTGAAGTGTTTTGCCAGTATTAACAACAAATGTGGAAGGGGAAAGTATTATTTCTGTTTGCGAGTGCAAAACTGGCAGAGAGAAGTTAAAATCACTTGGCAAAAATGCTAGGAACAACAGACAGATGCATATGTTAAACATCTCCTAGCTTACTGTCCAACTCAGTGTCAAAGCCAGTAAAACATTTTTGACAATGGAAATTGCAGTAATTGATTCAGTCACATGGATTTTACTTCCTCTAAGTAATTCTTAATCGTGCATGCCATTGCCACGTTGCTTTAACATGGCTATGAGGATGAATAAAACCAGTGGCAATATGCACTAAGATTCCTCATGCCACTTTCATGTTCTATCCAGACTTCTATTCTCTTACCACATAGTGCCTTCTGAATATGAAATGTTTTAAGTAAGAAAAGACAAAGTTTCTGTACCAAGTCCTCAATAGAAGTCTGGGATGTCTGGTGTAAAATTATGTTCTTACCTAGACTGATAATGAACTCTCAGATGTCTTCCTCCAGCTGTATTTTGCTGTGACACTCACCTCTGTTTCAGAAGCTGTTTGTTGTCCTCAATGGTTATACTGTCAGCATGGTCCCGCTTGAAAACTTCAAAAGCTTCCTGACATCCAAGTGACATCTTTCCTCCTGCCCCAAGGTAAAAAATAATTACTTCACAGTCATCAAAAGACAGACATTTTGCACTTAATTAAATCCTATTTAGACAAACACAGCAAGTCAGCCCAGGGGTCTTAAAGCACAAAGAAGACTAAAGTTCAGTTTTCCACCAATGGGAAAGCATTTTTGACTAAAGATTTCCATTATCTGACAAATTAATTTTGTTTCACATCACTTCTCTGAAGTCTGAAACCTTGAGGTGTATAATTTCTCAAGACAATTTAAAATGTTCATGTGAAATATTCTTAAGTGTGAGCCAGAGGTATTTTCACAACAGCAAAACTCAATTTGCTTCTGTATTTCTTTCATCTGTTTCATACTGGATCCTTAAAATAACTTGAATATTTTCAGTATTCCTAGGAAAAGAAAATTCAGGCTTCTTTTAATTATGTATTAATGAATATTTTTCATATCCTTTTATGTGAAGCAGGAATTCTACCTACAAAAATGGTTGGTTCCTGCCTTTTTACATTTCCAACTTGGTGTTTGTTTCCTTTTGTGCACCAGAATGTCAAGACTTATTTGGCCTTCAAATCTTTTTAAAAATCACTGTAGAAAAGTATTCTAGTCTCTATAATTTATCAGTTCTCATTGTTAGATGATCTAAGATCCAAGTAAGATATCATGCATTTGTATTAGCAAAAAAATTCAAAGGCTTAAGGAGAGTGACAGATCATGACAGCACCTGTGTTATCAGGTGTACATGTATGTCATTATATAAGCAAGGAGAAACACTTAAATAAATTACAGTAATGAAGATAGCTCAGGAGCAAAAAGGTGGAGGACTCTCACTCAGTGTGAAAAACGCAAAATAGCTTCACCTCTAATTCAACCTCAAGGTTGCAACTTAAACCTCAAAAATGTTATTCCTTGAATTGGAATTTGATTCTCCGCCATTTTTTTCACCTCTAAAGCCTTTCTTTTGTCCTACTCACAAGTCTGCCTTCCTGCTTCAGATCTACCAGGACCCCCAAATCCACTGTGAACAAGAGCTATAAAATTTTCTAGGATTTCTGCTGTGCAAGTGTTTTCTATGTTTTATGCCAATGTGGGTAGAGTCCTTCCCAAATCTTTGTTTGCGAAGCCTAGCCGTGAATGAATGAAAGCCAATGGACCAGCATTACCAATAACATACGTATGCCAGTTATTTTTCAGGCTACCTGCTTTGCAATTTTGGTGTAAGTAGGTTTTTCAGGCTACCTGTTTTGCAATTTTGGTGTAAGGGTTTTCTCCTTCTCCAAGTTTCTCCTGTTTTCTTTAACACAATTTTCTCACTTAATAGGGATGAAAGACACTGTTTTCAGAGTCACCAAGTTCTAAACTCACTTTGGTGAAACTGAGGCAAAAAATAGGCAACACTTACCTAAACAGGTTGGGATATGCAATACTGGGATGTTACCCCTTATTCGGGTCTAGCTCCATAAGCTGCATTTTAAAGTCACTCTAAACATGTTCTGCTAAACCTCATCACACTTATAATGTCAGGATAATTTCCCACTGACTGCAGTGAGATTTCAGTGATGTAAGATACTGTTTACAGTGAGGGCTGGTAAAAAAAATTAGGACTCAGACTTCAATGATCAGTAAAAGTTTAAAAAAATTATTCAAAATAGAGAGAAAAATTTGCCCACTGTTTCAGTCAAAAGAATCAGCACATCTGTTACTAATTCAAAAATTTTGAGTTGAAAATAGAACCACCAGGAATGTTTGAATGGCAAAGCATGCAGAAATGCTCCACCCTTTTTGAATAAGAAAATCAAAGAAAGATACAGAGCAGTCTTTACTGTTGTGTGATCCAAAAGAGCAAGAGGATTTAGGAAAATATATTTTTCTGTGGTGATGACCTGAGAATATAATGTTCATGTTTCATGCTTGCCTTGAAGAAAAACAGGCAGCTTTGCAAGCAGAATTTTATAGCACATTCATCCCATCACTAGCACTAATTTTAACATGCAGCCCGATTTGACCCTCTAGAATTGCTTTTGTTGCAGAAAAAGTTTGTATTAAGTGCAGAAAGCCTGGACCAAATTCCTGATCAAGCCTAAAATAAACAATGAATGCCCTTACTCATGTGTAACACTGCAATGTAAAGTATTTAACTCTTCTGGCAAAGTACTGCCTTATAGAGTAGGAGTAAAAACAGTAAAGTAAGTTTGGAAAACAGAATTATTACAGTGCTTATTGCTACTGCCTGGCAGAAAAGCATCAACCAAAATTAAAGGTAACCTGATAATCATTTTCCAGCACTAAATTAAGAGGCAGTAGATTTGTACAGCCAAACAAAGCACACAAAAATAGATCCCCAGAACTCCTGGGAAGGGGAAATTTTCTGGTTTATGCAGTTCATTTTAAGAAAATAGAGAAACATATGAACTAGTAAACAATACTATCCTGAAAATGATATAAAAGGAAAGGAACTTAAAATGGAACATTGAGATTGTATCTCAGCATAATATAAACATAAAACAGCTACAGAAAAATGTTGCAGCCTGTGGGTAATGACAAAAACGTTTAGGATGATAATAAGAGAAGACAGCAATGTTAATACTAGTAAAAGACTGCAAGAGACATTGGAAACTTGATGGAGTGGTTGTGTTTTCATTCTGCTCAGTAATGAAGATTATTGCTTCTCCATGGTTGACGTGGTATCTTCAATCATGCTGTTTACATTTCCTTAAATATTCTTTAATTTCATAAAGTAGCCTCACCTTCTTCCAAATGGCCTCCAAGTGCCAAGGTGCATTAACATTATTGGCATGCTGTTTCTCCTGGGCTTAATTCCAACAAATAAACTATATATTCTCTTAAACCAAGGTGCTATCGAATTTCTGTTTTTCTCTAGCTGTAAATCGAAATTTATGTAAAGATATATATACATGATATGAATAAAAGCAGAATTAGGAGAAGAAACCATTGATGAGGAGAAATTTTTGGCAAGCTAGTGGAACAGTTCAGCTAAAACTGTTAGAGAAAACGATTTCTTTCATTCTTACAATTCTTAAACAATTTCTCCTCTCCTTTAATAACATGGCATGGGGTTGCAAAATAAATATTTGAAAATTCTTATCTAAGGAAGAACAAGGAAACACATGTCATTAAGTCATTACAATGTGAACTGGAATAATCATTACCGTAAAAATAATTCACATCATTGGAAAAAGCATAAAAATTTCTTGCAATCACAGTCATGAAACTCCAGTTGACAGGGTTGCATGAAAGAGTGATAAATTTTGTATCAACTTGATTTTAATGATACCTTTCCTGTTACGTTGTGTAGTTTGGCTTTAATGTTAAAACACAAGTATGCCCAAGTCACACAATGTGAAATTCACGGCAAACCCATCATTATTTACAGCAAATTCACACAGCTGAAATTTTGGTAAAATTCAAGTTCACTTCACATCCCAAGTTTGTATGTTTAAGAATGTTTTCATTGAAGGTTTGATTTCAGTCTGTAGTCCTATTCAGTGAACTCTCTCAACTTTCACATTAAGCAAAAAACTTTGGTTCCATAGGCTCCTATCCTGAAATGTGCAAATTACAGCTGTCCCACTGAACTTGGTAAGTCAACAGGATGGCAATTAAGGCTCAAGCTCTGAACTAGAGCAACAAGATCTGAAATGATCAAGAAACAGAAAGCTTGTTGTAGTATTGATAATGGGCTAAACTTATGAAACCAGTAATAATTCAAAATACACTGAGCAAAAATGTAATAGTGCTTTTGGGTGTTGCTGATTACTTTTTAAGGTAAGAAAAGATCAAAGTGATTTAAAGACTCAGTTGCACGCCTACAGCAGGTAGAAGCCTGTATAGCAGCAAAGATCCTGGGAGGTATTTTGCACCCTATTCTATCACTAACTAATTTAGAGATCATTTATTCTATGCTGTTACATATACAGATGCTATTTACAGACATCCTAAACACCAAATGTTAAGTTTAAATGAACTTTAAAGTTAAAGGAACATGTAGGGTATAGTGTGGCACTGGGTGCTCAACTCCCAGCAGAGAAATGATATGGCTGAATGCTATTTTTAAAATGGTATCCACTGAGATTACGTCGGGGTTACATTGATTAAGTAAGAGCACGCAAGTGGATAAACATAGACTTTATTTTGTTGCCTCAAGTGATTAAACACTGGTGTACATATTTAAATGACCATACTGATTTTTAAATTTATCCGACACTGACAAATCCTATTGCAGCTTGTATTAGTGATCACAGTTTAAAAATATTGGATAATGTGAAAGTACTCTATTTTAGTGTTGTGGTGGGGTTTTTTTTTGCCCCATACAGATTTCAAGACTGCTCAATCTGGAAATGGCACTTCCAGTCCTGAGTCTGGCCACCTTCTGTTTTTTGGTTTGTTTCTTGAAAAAGGTTTTATTGCTCAGAGGGAGAAGGCTTTCATAAAGTTTAATGCATGAAGCCCACAGAAAAAGTTTACATTGGTCTTCAGTTAGGTCTGGAAAAATATGTCAAACAATAGCATGAAATTGATATCTTCTCTGTCTGAAAGCAGAACTGCAGTGTCTCCTCACAATCCCACCTTGTAACCAGATTTTGTTCCTGGTATATGAGAACTCTAAGGAGTTTTCAGCAGCCCTCATACGAGATGATGCCAGTGTAACCCACTAAAAGAATTGGAAACAACACTCCGGAAGAGAAGAATTAAGATTGCAAGTTGAGCTGTTCTGAGGGAGGAACATTAAGACTGTTGACAAAAGCAAACTCTTGGGATTAGCTGTTCAGACCACGTATTCTGATGAGAAAGGCATCTGTCCACATATCTGCCCATGTGTCTGTTTTGTAGAAACTACATTTTCACAGAAAAAGACTTCATCTTCCCTTTTCTACTAAGAGCTCTATTGGACAAGAATTGTCAGCTCTTCCACTGAAATCAATAGGAGCAAAAAGTCCCCTTGGGTCAAGGAAAGCTCTCATGCAAGTGAGGGTTGTCTGAAGAATTTC